GAGGTTAAATCGAAAGGAAATCGATCACGTGAAAAAATATTTCTGAAAAATATTTCCTTTAATCGAAAAAGAAAAACCTTTGATAGATATCGCGGAATTCGCTCATCTCAAAGGGAGAGTAGATACGATTTGCGCGCACTTCTATCGACACGATAAGATCGACCCTTTTCGCAAAAGGACTCGGTGCAATTTTACCGTCACACTAGTGCACCGTACGGTTGATGCATTAGCGCGATTATAGAACCCCAATTTGTTGTTACCGCGGATAGGCTTGCTCGTTATCGCCGGCAGCGATCGTGAAGTTTTATGTCCTGGCACGAAAACTAAGACGCTCTTCTCCGTTTCATACACCGACGCTTTTACTCTCTTTCTCTTTCATAGCTCTATGATCGCGTTCCTTTCTGTCGTATCAGCGCAATCGCGAACCTCGGATCCCTTTGATGTGTATCCGCCCACTTCACTGAGTTGCAATTAATTTACCTGTTCTTACCTATGCCTTTCCTTCTAATAACGAATCAGAAGTACGTCTTTTTTTTACGACAAAGAATGTCTCGTCTTCCATATTCCTTCCGTTGTATGTGCCTTAAAGAATATAAATTAGAAGCGATTGTGTCGGCTCCTTCGAGATAATCGGCTAATTTCTATCGTTCGAATGTCTTCTAATATTTTGATATATTAGAAGAATTTTTTTATATAATGTAAACTCTATAATGATAACTCTATAATGTAAATAAATAAATATATATATATATATATATATATATATATATATATATATTTATGTATATCACGTGGCTTTAAATATTTCTATCGATCGTTCGAAAACTTTGTAGCTTCTTAATATCTATTTTATCCAACGACAACGAGCCTACTATCTTTCAAGACCGGCTAAACAAGTTCATCCATAACCGCTAAACTTCCAAGTTTTATCGTTATGGTTGGATCGTTAACACTTTAGTATACGTGTATATCTGTGCATCATTATTACATTCGTATTATCACATTCGTCATTATTACGTTCGTTCTCAAACCTGTTAAAAAGGGGACAATATAATAAACGCTAATAAACCATGTTTAATTTGTTATTGCTATATCGTGTTTCTTTCGTTGATCTCACTTCGATAATTCAATGCGAGAGATTGAGAACAGAGGAAAGAAGTTTACTGGTCAGGACAACAAAGAGATTTGAATCGATCTTCGAAGAGACGGAAAAAGAATCCCTCGCGTGTTTCGGTATGGCCGCAAGTACGAAAATTACGTCGCCTGTGGATCGGCGGTCAAGTCGAGAGAACTTGTCACGTTCGGCGACAGACAATTGCTTTCTCGTACCACCAGATGTCTCGGACTCATCGCGTGCAATGTCACTCCAGCTGACGTAGGGTCGCACCGGAAAAGCTTTGCGGTCGTGTACGAGAATCGATTCCTTCGAGATTTCAAGCGAAACCTCGGCTACCACTTTCGAGCCGACAAACTTTTACGTTCGATTTAAATACAATCGTTCATTGATAAAATCTATTATTTTGTTTCCTCTGTAATCTTTCATACCGAACGTAATAAACAAGAGGAAGATCGTGACGATTAATACATTAAAATAATTTATTAGTTACGTTGAACACTTCATTATATTCTATTGAATTGAAGTTTCTTCAGAAATTGAAAGTTGAATATCTCGGTTTCAATGATCACACTTTGGTTATCAAATAAATATGTCCCATTAGTCAAGCATTGTTATTCGGTGAGAGCAGGTGTGATGAAAAGAATATTATTGTCCCATGAAAATCATAAACGAGGGCGATAGAGATCGAAGACTAAATAACGAAGAAAATTCTTTGATTCATCGCTGAGATAATGCGAAGAATCTTTTTCATTCCCTACTTCCACCCTCAGTTGTCTTGTTTAGAGTAATTTTATCGTGAGTTAATTCTGTTAGAGATCGAAGACCGGATGAGATACGACATGTGCGCGATGCCGAAATTACCGTGGCGATTTTTATCTTTATCTCTCTCTCTCTCTCTCTCTCTCTCTCTTTCTCTCTCTCTCTCTCTCTTTCTCGAGATACCAAAGTCCGATATTCACGGTTCGACATGGAAGCTCGCCTGTGGCGTCTGATTAAACGGCCGAGTGGCCACGTTCTAACATGTATTTAGAGTACACTAACACGTTCAAAGCTATGGACATGGATGAGCCCTCGTACCTGTTCGTACCACGGCGATTAGTTCGCTCTTCGATTAGGGAACCAAAGACGTTTTGATACCTACGTATGTGATAGCTATCTATGTTAGGATCAAGCATGGTCCTCCTATTGTAGGTATTGGTATTGCTTGCGCACGCGCGCACAACCAGAACATATTCCTTCGATGAAATATGTAATCTCCTGGCCGCCGGCGTAATACGTAGTCGCGCACGCTGCAGGTGTCGAAAAGATTGTCTGCTTAATGAAAGATTTAGAACTCCCGTTTCTCTTGTGAACCGTAATATTCGTACTTCCATTCGTGGTGTAGCTCGATTCTCAACTTCCGGGGGGTGCTAGTGTATAATCTCGGGAATCCGGCGAAATCTTATGATCTAGAAGCATTCGAACCTGCCAGTTTAAATACGCTTCTGTTTCATGGATTTGAAAGACAAATTATCATCAGAGGATGTTGCTATTACGTGAAGATGAAATCTCAACGTGGAAATATAAATGCCGTGACGATTTCTACAATTTACAATCTAATTACAAAAATCGTACAAAAACTTTCAATGTGTGGGTGGTCTATACATTCGTATATCATGTATATAATATCCAATGACTATGTTCATTAATTATTTCGTGATACAGATCACGATCATACGTGATTGAAAAGAAACGTATGATTCAATATAATAAAGCCTAATATTGAATAGGTAAATCTTTAAAAATGAAATAAAATTGAAAGGACCGAAAGGACGATCGAAAGATGAAAATTTCATTTTTTTTTCTCGATTGATCCTATCCCACCCTCGTCCATCTACGAGTCGTCCGTTTCAAGATTGTGGCCAGTCGGAACGTGGGTGACCGGTTGACCACGCGAGAGCTATGGTGGGGCTAGCTAAGGCAAGGTGTATGGGAGCTGGATGACGGGATGTGCAGGGGGATCGATGGGCGAGCCAACGCTGATCGGAGACCGCCTTCTCTCCTTCTTTCTCTTTCTTTCTCTTTGCTCCTCGCTTTCTACCATTTTCTCCTTTTCCCATCTTTCTTTATTCCTACCATCTCTCTCTCTCTCTCTCTTTCTCTTTCTCTCTCTCTATCACTCTATCTTTCTCTCTCCCTTTCTCTCTCTCTCTCTCTCTCTCTCTCTCTCTCTCTTTTCTTCTTCTTCTTCTTCTTCTTCATCTTCTTCTTCCTCTCGGCTCTTCCTACTTTTCGTTCTCCGACATATACCTGCCTCCTCTCCTTCCAACCTTTCTTCTCCCACGCTACACCTGTCGTGCGCGTACCGGAGTAGTGGAAGAAAGAGAAAAAGGGAAGGGAGAGAGAAGTGGTACTCGAGTCCTAGTCGAGCGAGTACACGTACTCAGCCGTGCTAAGGTCGAAGGCACGCCAAATCCATTTATCTCGTACGTTGGTACCGTCCGTACGTGTACCAAGCCTCGAGGGAGGTACCCCCTACTCTCTTGCTTCTACCTTTACATATATATATATATATATATATATACATACGTAAATATATACGTATATGTACTTATACATAGGAACATTGTGAAGGATCTCTTTCGCGGCTTTATTTCACGAACGAAGGTGAAATATTCCATGTTGCGATGCTTTTACTTTCTGCGAGTGACTCGAATTACAAAGGTTATAGTCCAGTCTTAAAAATGATAGAAAAAAGAGAAAGTAAAAGAAAAATCACGAACCTTGCTCGTAATTCTCATCAAAAATAATCTTCTTAATGTTTGCTCTTTCTCTCTCTCTCTCTCTCTCTCTCTTTCTCTCTTTATCTATCTCTCTTTCTTTTTCTACCTCTATCTATCTATCTATTTCTCTCAGTGAGAAACATACTCGATCTTGGTTATGGTCCTGGTAGAGAACATGCAGCTGAACTCGCTCCTTCGTGAACTTAATCGCGGCCCATTAAAACGGCGCGGCTACGCTTGGAATCCATGCGAGACGCGATTTGAAGTGCACCCGTTATTAGTCGGCCGGGTCGTACGTTAGCACGAAGCGGAATCGAAGGTGCTAATCTAATCTGCCTGACGACGATTAAAGGCCGGCAAGCTGGAGTTTCTCTCTTGCAAACGTATCTCTCACCGTTTGAATTTACGTGTAATCGCACACGTACACATACACATACAGAAAGTTGTGAGTTGTACATGTTGGTCCATTTCAAGACACTTCCAATTACCTGAAGACGAAAGAATTTCGCGAAGGATTTAGTCTGGTCCTGTAACCCTTTCACCTCAACTTCCTCATCCTCCTCTTTTCATCCTCCTCCTCCTTCTCGTCGTCCTCCTCCTCTTTTTATCCTCCTTTCTCCTCTCTGCTTGCCCGCAGGACGGTGGGCGTGCGAGCTCACGTCTGCGTGATCTCTGATAGACGACCTACCCAGACCCTTGGAAGTCCTTTCAGAAGGACTTCTTTCTCTTTCTTTCTCTTTCTCTTCGCGTTTCGTAGAAAACGAGGTCGGGGGTAACCTCGAATACGTTAGAGACGCGTCAAATTCAACGTAGGCGTGGCGACCCGAAGATTTTTCATTTTTGCATAAGCTCTTTATATCTTATGATTCGCGTCGGTCTAATAACGACTCGTGGGAATACTGATGGAACATCGGAATCGCTCCCACCTTTTTCATTTTTATGCAAATTAATGAACACCGAAAATGATGTTATCAGCATTTTTACGATATCTCTAATAAGATTTTAGCTGTAACGTAACAAAATGTTATTACTTCCATTGAATAATATTTAATAAATAATCATTGATCAAGGAAGGATACTCGTTAATTATTCGAATGACACTTATTAAAGCGCGTAGCGAGTAATTTTAATAGGCATTTATTTTTATAATGATGAGTGTTCTTTATAATCGATCTATAATATACATCATAGCATTCAGTTTATACATAATTACAGAGTTGTAAATCTCGTTCGCCCTTAACACATAATAGTAGTGGGTTCGTCGTGCGTCGCGGAAATTGGGAAATTGTCCTTCAGGCGTAGAGGAATTTTTTTAAAGTACGGTGGATTGGACGAAGAGGAGGAGGAGATGGAGGAGAAGGAGGACAGGACGATGACGAGTGTAAAATCTAGGATCGTGTGACGCGTAGAAAAACTTACACGTTTCGTGCTTCATCTCGAAGCGTCGCGACTTACATCGACGCGCTCGCAAAAATTATGCTGATGTGTATATATATACATATATATATATATACACATTTATAATATAATAAAGTATATATACAATCAAACAATTACGGAGGACAAGAAATCATTTTCGTGAGCGACTTATGATATCGTTTTGTGACCGAATTGCCTTTTAAATCGCAGACAATTAAGAATTATTAAAAAAAAAAAAAAGGCAAAAAAGAGAAAATAAAAAAAAAAAGTGAAAAAAGAAATAAAAATTATAAAAACTTGTCCGATGTGAAAGAATATTCAAGGAAGAAGAAGGAAAGTTACAAAAAAAGGCAAATAAAAAAATCAGAAAATAAAATTGAGATTCAATGTGGCAGTGCCCGCTACTGCCAGTCGCCGTCGATGATAAACTGCAGGATCCTCGTGTAAAGGAGGAGTTGCTTTTCTCTACGGAGACAATAAATAAAATCTAACTATTCTCATTTATATCTAGCACGAGACGTCGCCGTCACGCGTCGCTTTGATTCGCTGGTCGGTTCATTCTCTAATATTGTTCTCTCTCCATATTTTTTGTAATTTTTATTCTCTCTTGTTCTTTTTTTATCTTCTGTTTTTTTCTTTTTTTTTTTTTTGACATCTTTACCGATCGCACGACACCCTTGGCCCTTCGAACGTCGAAAGGTCTACGCATCTCACGATTTTTATTTTAGAACCGTGTAAAGATTGCATTTTTTTTATTTCTCTCTCTCTCTCTCTCTCTCTCTCTTTCTCTTTCTTTCTCTCTCTTTCATTCCTTTTCATTTTCTCTAGCTGCCAACATATCGTTTGATATCGCTCCGATTTTTTATTCGCTAATTTAAAGTCCTCATTCCTATCGTTTATTCGAACCGTTTACAAAAGTCTTCTCTTCTCACGGTCTGTTTATCCCCGATTCGGGTAAAAACGTCCGTCGATCGGTCGCGCTTCCCTCGTAGCTTAATCGATAATTACGCGATACACCGAAAGGTACTATGTTTATATATACAGCAGTGCTAATTGATTATTGATTAAATAGTGACGTATTCGCTAACGTTACGTTATCACAACGATGATAAAATTAGATCGCGTATCGATCTGGGGATCGATTAACGCGAACGCCTTTTTCTCGAACACACCGAGTCGGTACTCTCGATCCACCCCTCTCGTCTCGTGTTCTCCTTTCAAATGGTATTGTTGATCCTATTTTTCTCTCTTTTCTCTCTCTCTCTCTCTCTCTTTCTCTCTCTCTTTCCTTCTCTCTTTTTCCCTTTCTCTTTTTTTTTTTATACTTCTATTTTTCCGTTCGTAACTTTGATGGTCTAAAAAAAAGACAAATAAATTCTCGCAAATGGTGAAACAGAGAAGGAAGAAGTGATGGAAAGAAAGAAAGAAATCGTAGTTTATGAGCTGAAAGTACTCGCGCAGCTGGGAAGAAGACAAAGCGCCCTCAAAAATATCACTGCGCCTCACAGATATGCTTCGGTAATCGTGCTAGAACTCCAAGCGAAGAGAAACACGAAATTTCAGGAATCGGACAGGTTGGTTCTCTTTGTGCGAGAATTCTTATCGACTTCTGGACCCACCGATAGAGATACCAAGTTGACTAGATTGGAGCGTTCGAAGCACGTCGATTGTTTGAGATCGTAGCCGATTTGAAGAAGAAAATTGACGAACGCAAGTAGAATAAAAGTAGAAGTGAATGTAACGAATGATCAGCGATATTTTTTTAGGCGTTGTCCTTCGATTATATTGCACGTGGATTAGCGCGAGACGATAGTACGGGTGGACCCTGGATACCCTGGGAGATCAACATGATCGGCGATCGATCGGAATCGTCGTTTAGGATTTTGGCATCACAGTAAGGGATAATAGTCGCGTTCGCGGCAGAAGAACGGTCACGAGCCGCTAGTAGAGAGAATCGACAGATCTCGATGAGCCTGGGGATCCCTCGAGTGTGCGTCTCTGACAGCTCTCGAGCCAAAGACGCGATCGCAGCCTGGTACGGTACATCTGGCTTCCTCTTTCCTATCGTCCGAGCCAGGAGATGATAACGGTGAGGCCGAGCGAGAGGGTTGTCTGGTTGCTTGTTCCTGAGAGAGTCTCGTCAGGTGGTTCAAGTGTTGATGAGTCAAACCATTCAGCCCAGCCAAATGTGAGGCAAAAGAGGACAGGCCTGGAAATGTGGCGCCCAGATGAGGTGGAAGAAGCAACGGATGCGGCGGTGGTATCCTGGCAGCTAGATCTACCGCAGATGGTGGAAGTCTAGGTGTCAGGGGATAAGCACCGAGTGGACCGATGCCCGTACCAATGGCTGCGGCGGCTCCGATCCCAGCAGTACCGATACCCGCGTCAGCGTAGAGTCTCGCAAGGAACTCGTTGTGCAGAAGAGGATTCATCGGAGCATCCTCGACACGCGGCGACAAACTGGATGGCAGGCTACCTGATGAAAGGGGCGGACTCGAGGAGGTCGAGAGTAACTTCCGATGGAGATTGAGATTGGCAGAGTGACGATCACGGGACCTCTTCGAGGGAAAGGCCGCGTTGCAACCGTCAACGCTGCAACGGTGCATCAGCTTGAGATGGACGTTCTGGTAATGAGTTTTCACACCAAAGTGATTCTGAAAGACCTTGCCACAGGCCGTGCAACGCCGTGGATTCTCACGATCAAGCGGAACCTCCTGGGTACTGACGAAGCCACCATTCTCGTATCTCGCGTAGGTTATCAGGCTATTGTCCATATCCATGGCCGCTGTGGAGGGTGAAGCGCTGGATGAACGAGAGCCATGTGAGGAGTTGTCCATGGTGGTCTCCTGGTGCGTCGTGAGGCTGACGGGGCTGGTAGAGCCGCGGCCAGACCTCGAAGCCACCCGTTGCGTCTCGGTGTACGGCATCATCGTGCGACCCTGCGACAAGGACTCGAGTTGACGCAAAGTGTTGGTCGAGGAGTCGTGGGAGAGCTCGTCGGCTGTCGTTGGACGGCTCTCGACCGAGCTCGGGGCACGGGGGGGATCATCGGGACGCTCACCTTCCTGATTGCGCAGCGCTTCGTCCACCTCATCATCATCATCATCATCCTCGACCTCCTCCATTGGCTCATCTTCCTCGTCCTGCGTCCTCTCGTTCTCCTCATCCTCCACCTCCTCCTCCTGTTCCTCTTCACCTCGCCTCCTAACATCGTCTGAGTTTTGTCGGACGATCTTGTCCTCTGTCGTCTCCAATTCGTTTCTCGAAACCACAATTTTATCTTCGCTCTTACCGACCTGCATTTCTTGTTCTCCTATTTTGTTTCGTCTCGCCCGTTCTTGAGACTCAGATGCCGAATCACAGACTGCAGTAGTCGAGTTACCTTCCACGCTTGGCTCATGCAAACTTTTTGGTTCTGGACTGATCTGACATTTTGGCGATTTGACACTGCTCGCCCTCGAACTGAGGTCTCTCGGTTCGTCCTGAGGTAGATCATCGACCTTCTCTTTTGCCGTTTCCCTACGGACACTCTCCAACGTCGTCGTTGTTTCTCGTTCACTGATTGAAGTCGTCTCCGGTGAGTTACGGCACTTCGTGTCTGGATTCTTCGGCGAGGCTGGCGAGACCTTACGTTCTTCTGCTTCGAGCCGTGACATCGACATGTCCTCCGGTTGATTCTGAAAATCGTCTATCGCTCGGACGATTCCACCATCCGGTTGACAACGTCGCTGAACCCGTTCCTCGTCGTTTGAGGAGTCACCATCCGTTGACGAAGAATGCACTTCCGATAAAACGGCGCATCTCGTTGGATGCTGGGACTTCCTTTTACGTACTCCCCTGCTGTGGAGAAGGGTATTCGAATTGAGGGTGTGTTGACCAACACTAAAGGAATGCTGATCGGTGCCACCAACGGAGTCGTCCTCATTGCTATCGATATTACTGATGTTCTCTTCGTCAGCCATATCGGTGAAGTAGAGTTTCGGCCGTTTGGCTAAACTGAAGTCAGCCGGTTGTTCGTCGTCTTCATCGCCGTGAGCCATACGAGAATGCAATCTGGAAGGTACATCATTCGTTTCATCTTCGGCAACTACAACAATGCCACCGTCGTCTTCGTCATCGTCTTCTTCATTCTCAGGTATCATCGATGTCGATGGTGACACCGTGCAACTAGTCGCACCACCTGAAAACGATCCACCTCTAGTTGTCGTTGTAGTAGTGGTCATCGACGCGGCAACAGTAGACGCTCCACTACTCGTCGTTATAGACACTGTAGTGGAAACCGTGCTAGTAGGTAAGCCCGTGCTCACTGGCATTCTCTGTTGAAGAGCCTCCTCATAAGGTCTACCTTGGCTCTGCGTTGAAGACAGGTCGAGATGCTTGAAGTCCAAGGCACAGAGAGAGGCAGGTGAACGCAGTTCGGATGGTGGAGTTAACAGAGGAAACGAACCAAAGGGCAAATGATTGAGTCCTGTTGCTGGCACGGGAAGACCAACCTGAGGTGGTAGAACTAACGCATGAGCCATTGAGGAGCGACCATCGTGTGGTGAAATCTTCCTTCGGAGATGTGGCGAATGGAGTTTCGGATTTGGATTGGCACTGTGCCGATTTCTTGATCTCCTCGAACTAAACATCATGCTGCAACCCTTGACGGTGCACTGATGCATCTCTCGGAGATGTACCGCACTGAAATGGATCTTGAGGGCACCCTTGTCGCAAAATGTTTTCAGGCAAACGTTGCACTGAACTCTCTTCTTACCAGTGGTTGGATTGATGAAGGGCGTGCCTAGATTGGGTGGCATATTGGCAGAAGCACCCCATTGTCCCGTTGGTCTTTTTCCAGGCGAATGAGGCTTTCTACCGGGTATACCAGGTGGCCTTCCTAAAGGCGCAGGTTGAAGCGGCAAAGGTGGAGGATGTCTATGTTCGGCTGCCACGTGTTTCGATGCGGCGTCACGCCTGCTGAGGTTCAATGCACTATCGGAGTTTTCGTCGTCATCCTCATCCTCTTCCGAGCCAAACTCGCTACTCTTTTCACCGCCACTGTGTACGTCCGTAGGTGCTGTCAGGCCGGCAATGGAACCGGTCGATTTAACCATCGGTGGTGGCGGTGGGAAATGACTGGGAAAGGTAGGTGGTAAGGCTCCCGAGGAAACAGCGACGGAGAGTGGATGACCAAAGTTAAGTGCAGACGAAGAAACCGGTGCCACTGGCACGTGAGGCCTCTGTAATTGCGAACTGGACGAATGATGGGGCGGACTATGAGGACTTTGAGGATTTCTCATGGACTTTCGACTCTGCAGAAGTTGCTCGGTAGGTGGTACAGGTGGTAATGGTGTAAACGCTGGCAAGCCTAATGTACCCAATTTACGAAAATCGAAGGGTTGCATGCTTTGCAGTCTGTTCAGTGGTGACACGTTCATATGCGAATCTAGAGTTCTCGGTGGCGAGTTCCCCCGATTACTCGTTATTCCTGGATTACCACCGGTCGTGGCTGACGAATAATGCTTCTGCGTAGTAGGCGAAATTGAGGGGTGCGAAACCGGGGGTGGAGGATGAGGCGGCGGTAACGGTGGTGGCAACCTCGAACCCGGCGGTGGGAGGCCGCAGTGGAGCAGGTGCAAGGGCGGTGGCAAGTGTGCTAGTGGCATCGTCGGCGGCGAAGGTCGTCTGCTTGGTGACATAGCATCCGTCCCCGGCGTTCCGGCGGCCAGCAGCAGCTGCTGCACGAACGGACGCGTCTCGGCGAACCTGAGGAACTGCTGCAACACCAGCGGTTCCTCCTCAGCCGAGCAGATACTCCATCGGTCCAGCACCGGGCCGTTCTGCGAATCCTACGGAACAAATGAAGAACCAACTTTCAGTTCAGTGCTTTTTAATGATATTAATGGTAAAATAATAAACATATCGCATTAAGAAAGGTAAGTTAATTGAATCAAAATTTTCAAATATCCCAGACATGTTGTATAAAATTACTCGAAGAGACGTAATTATTTATTAATATCCATATAATTAATTATTTTTTAATATTCATTATTACAAGCTTTAAAATGAAATCATAATTAGGATTAATCTATTTATTTAATATTTCTAAGGTGGATCAAACTTTTGACCGATGTTGTACGAACTGAATGTGCGATATAGGAGTCGTGAGAAAGATGTAAGTTACACGACGTTATTAGAAGGTAGAAACGAAACTAGTTTTCGAGCGTGAATCATGTAAGGTGCCTCGCGTATGAAAAATTCGAATTCTCGCGCGTTAACTCGTTAGAACGTCGAACCAGTTTTTCCTGACTCCCCTTCCCTCACCAAGAGCAAGGCCGTATCGTATCCTTCTCCCTCCGTGCTAATTTCTGCCGGGTCGATCATGTTCTCTCTCTCTCTCTTCCTCTCTCTCTCTTTCTCTCTCTCTCTCTCTCTCTCTCTCTCTCTCTCTCTCTCTTTTCTGTTTCTTTCTCTCATTATCTTGAAACAATCGATGTCTTGGGTCGAGACTGTCGTGAGCTTTTTTTTTCACTTTTGTACCTTCCACTCTTAAATCTGTCTTCCTGCCTTTTAGCGAGATTTCGACAGTTGGTACGGACGTCACGATTCGGCCGTTAGAGTCACGGCTTCTTATAAATTCAGGGTGGCCGTGTATATAGAGCGCCCGTAAGCTTGTCTCTCGCCGGCTTGTATATTTACACATTCCGACGGACTCGACGTAACGCAGGACGCCCAGCGCCGCGACGCTTTTCGCGTCCCGTGTATATTTCTTCAAGCGGCCGTACCCGAACGCTGAGGAGAGAAAAAGGGAGAAAGAGTGAGGGAGAGAAAGATAGATAGAGAGAGAGATAAAGAGAGAGAGAGAGAGAGAGAGATAAAGAAGAAAGAGAGATCTAGACGGCCCAGCTTGGGTACTCGAATTCACGATCAGTCAAATCAGGCACTCCAAATTCGATCTCGCATGGAAACTGCTGTCTTATTTTTGTACGATCTTGCTGTTCGTGGAAATGAGAAAGAAAGATAAATATGTTGAATAAAATATATCTAATCGAATGTTTAATTTGATTTCATGATCGAATAATTGATATTGTATAAATTTAAAAAATTTATTTTTTTGTTTCTTCGAACGACGACGACGACAATCAAGACGACGACAACGACGACGACGACTTATCTTTAATTTTACAAATGAAACTTTGAATACGATATATTAGACGTTAAGAGAAGATTTGGATCGTGCGTGTCTCTGTGAAAGTTTCAAAAGCTGAAAAGAAATTCCTCGAAGCGATCTAAACGTTCGGCAGTTTTGAACGGCAAAGAGAACGCGGTGATCTAAACGGCAGCGTCCCTAAGAACGAATTGCTACTGTGAGACACGAATTTAATACCGCACGCGAATGAGATCCTTGGTCGGGTCACGTTTAACGTTAACTTCTAATAGTACATTGGTTTGAAAAGAACGCGAATCGAGCGCGTGTTTGAATGGTCAGGTTCAACAATTGAGCCAGACAATTATATGAAATATCGGTAAAAAAATAAATTATTGTCTGACTTTAAAATATTAAAAATATTTACAATTACAATTATTTATTTAAGTTCAATTGATTTTCTCTTGAACGTTTATTATTATTAACGGGCAAATGTTTATATGATAATCGATATGAATGTTATCGGTTAGATTTTTACGCAAGAACAAAATCTCAGGATAGTTTCCAATTTGCGAGCGCACACCTTGATTAATTACCGGAATGTATGGTCGTTAATTATTGGCGGCTTTGCGAAGGTAGGATCGCGGTAACTAATCGTTTTATTCGCTGGCGTTACCCATTCGGTCGTTTGAAATAGGAAACGCCAGCAATGCCTTCGAGATCTTGTTCGAGTGTGAGATTTCGAAGCGTATTTGGAATTTGCCAGTCCGTGGAGATATATGCGCCTGGGAAATAGCTCGTGCTCGTTGGCCCGGAATAAGGCAGACGGACGACTTGTGAGTCAGGAACGACGAGAACTATTGTGTAACGCATAATTATGGAGAAGGTAGAGTAAGATAATCCTCGTTTTATGCTACATAGAGAAGAGAAATAGAGAGAGAGAGAGAGAGAGAGAGAGACAGAGACAAAGAGAGAGAGAGAGAGAGAGAGAGACAGAGACAAAGAGAGAGAGAGAGAGAGAGAGAGAGAGAGAAAGAGAGGGTGAAACAAAATTCTCTTCGACGACATGAACGAGATTTCGTCGCCACCCGTCCAGCTTTTCTTGTAGAGTCTATTATTAACCCTAACATAAGTGGATGCTGTATAATGTCTTCGTTATCTCGACTATTTATACTTCCGCTACATTGAGTCGAACGTAGATTCTATTTT